GTTTAGCATTGGTCTCCATCAACCAGAATCACATGCTGACAGCTGCCACTGACTGTAGCTTATGTTTTCACATATTTCAAAGCATAAGGTCAAACCATATATCACATACTTATTGACATTAGAAGAACAACTTATTTTGCCCTGTCACCTTTCAATGCATGTTACACTTTCAAGAAGCTATGGTCATGATTTGATCTGTTTAGTGAGAGATTTCAATGATGAATTATTCTTACCACATCTATAAGAAGATTTAAAGGTAGAAGATGAAAGAATACAAGAACTTATCAATAAAATGCAGAAGAAGGTTCAAGTTCATGGAAAGGGATTATGGACCACAAACATAAAATTCACTTTAAATCCATTCATGTGGATAACAGAAGATTTCTGACATACATAAAAAACATTAAAATAAGATAACATACTACAATTACAGCTGAACTAGCGTACAACTCAGTCTAAATGATGCTCATGACTCCCTTATGACTAAAAGGTAGATGTTAAAATATAGACATAAACAGTACTACTACCCTGCATCTCTACTACACACACAAAATTAGACAAACAACAATAAATTTAATGACAGAAAGCAAACCAATAGGTATTAAAGACAGAAAAGCACATGAATCAGACATAGTGAAGATTGAAGATATGATACCAAATTGTGTAAGAGAAAAAAAAAGGGCTCCACAAGATAGTTTATTAGCAATGCCAACCCCTAGTTTTGATAAGTATTACTATCTTTTGCTAACTGTGTTCTAACTAAGCTTGTACAAGCTATATAAGCTGTATGGAGACTTGACAAAATTACTAGTTTTCTAACCTTATTCTAGTCTCTACTATTCTTAACATGCTATGTACTATTTGACTTGATTGAGCCTCCTATAAACACTAAAATTGTCATATCTTTTGATTTTGTGGACTAAATTTAACAGATGTTGGTAATTTTCTGATGACATGCAGAGTAAATTTTAGATGCCTCAGTAAATCATGAGTTCACTTATTACTTACTTATATCCAACTTTTCACATGACTTAGTAGGAAAAATGTGCAAAGTCTGAAATCTAGGCCCGCAGTAGGGCTGAGGCACGAGGCCTTGATAAGGTAGCATATATTGTGGACTCTGACTAGGGGTCCAGGCTGTCCACTCCTATACACCAACCCTGCTGACCACTGTCTCCAAAGATAGGGTGCAGTTAGAAGGAGGGAGAGAGGAGTAAGTAAGACAGTGAGGGTCAGTAGTGGTTTCGACCTCACAAAGGGTCTCATCAAGGGGCTTACTGCTGCCCCAACTGCCTCACCTCTGTTTCTGTTTAATAACACTACCTCTGAGCCTTTTATGTAGAAAGAGAGTTGGCGTTATGCTGACAACAAAATAGCTTGTTAACACTCTAACATCTAGCACCAATCTAGCACTCACTCTTTTTCTTTGTTCTTACTTTTTCCATGTTGCTTGGCTTCTTTTTCAAAATCTTTACTTATTTGTCTCTTTTACATATTGAGCTGCATAAAGTTTTTGAGTCTAAAAATAAGTGTGAAAAAGTAAAAATGAGTAATGTGTCACTTATTTTAAGTGCTAAAAAGCTAGAAAAATGAACTCATGATTTACTGATGTGATATTGATCACAGATAAGGTTATCTGGTGTTTATATTACATACAAGTGTTCCAATCACCTTTGGACATTTCCTACCCTCAATTTCAGGAATAGATGCTCATATACTATGTTCACTTGTCATCTTTTCCCCTTTGTTATCTGTTGGAAACAGTGCCTGAATGTCTCAGTGACATCACACTCTCAAAACTGCCGTGTATTGTTGTCTGTGCATGAAAGGCCATGATGGTCATAGAAAAGGAGAGAACTTAGGAGAGCAATGAGTGGCTGGGATTGAAAAAGTGATAATAGAAGACAAAATGATTGGAAGTGCAGGAGTGATTGACATGCAGGTGGTACTCAGGTGGAGCATGCACATGGGGTGTATGTGAATTGGTCCCACACATCAGAGTTTGGACCCGTCAAAAAACTATCATTGAACGATCTCTGTTTGGTATAGTCTCGGTCAAACCACATTGAGCCAGGAACTTTACCAAAACATAAACCGAAAGTTTAAAAAGCAAGCGAGGACAAGCGGGAACTGTATCACTGTTATCAAAGTTGCTGATGATCAATGATAAAGTGCAATCAAAGATTATCTGTCTACTCAAATACAAAGCATCAATACTGCTACTGATCTACTACTACTGTTCAACTCGGTGGATAATATCTTCCTGTACTGCATCAAACCAAGCGCTCAAATCATTCAACACATGGATTGTCTTGTTGATATAGCGCATAATCTCCTGGTAAATATCATCAAAGGTCTGCGAGTTCAATGAAAAATCCTTGAATTTGCCTTTATATGCATTCAGAATGCAGTAAAGTGTGGCCCCACAGACTCCAAAGAGCCTATCCATCTGTCCATTCAACACCTTTGACAGTCCTGCCTTTAACACATCAATGATCATGTTAATGAGAACTGGGTGCTCCAGCGGACATTTGATTTCTTGAGGATCAGCCATTGAATGTCCCACAAGTTGACACATACCTTCTCGAATGAATGTAGAAACTGTAAATCCTTCAACAGTTCAGGAACTGTAGATTCCCTGTGCAAGATGTTGTCAACCAGCGAAAATAGGGGCTGACGGAGGTTGTAACCAAGGTGCATCAGTAAATTCACACATTTCTTGGCAGACCTTTTTTCGAAAATTAAAACTTATTTTTAACTTATTGACACTTATTCACCTTTATTCACTTGGCTGTTTGTTTTCACAAGTCAAAAAAGGAAGTGTATGACACACAAGTGCCGAAAAGTAGCATAAGATCAAAAAAGTCAGTTCAAGTATTCGAAACAGAAATAAGTACAGCAAGTAAATAAGTAGTTCAACTTGGTATGTAACCCGCGGCAGGTAGTAACTCGTGACCCATGTATTCATGTACTAGACATATGGGTGTAGGTACAATGTATATCAGTAGTAGCAACACAATAACGAGATCGACAGACTCACGAACTGTGAACAGCGGGAAATGACTTGGATCAGCGTGGCTTGAGCTCGAAGGGGGATCGACAGACTCATGAACTGCGAATGGCAGGAAACGACTTGGATCAGCATGGGTCTTGCTCGAAGGGGGATCGACAGACTCACGAACTGTGAACAGCAGGAAACGACTTAGATCAGCATGGGTCTTGCTCAAACGAGGATCGACACACTCACTTCCTGCGAGCGGTGGCAACGACTTGGATCAGCGTGGCTTGAACTCGAACAAGGAGGGTGCTGGAGGGCGCCAGGTATGGGTGCTGGAGGGTGCAGTTGGGCATGGTTGGATTGGGAGGATGCGAGAGATGTGCCGGGGGGTGTGTGGAGGGCTGCAGTTAGCAAAAATTGAAAGAACAATTGATAGATGCACGTACAGTACCCAAACCCAAACTATACAAACCGATTCCTTCAATCTGCATGAAGCTAAAGTCAGTATGACAAAGATGGGCGCATGCAGTTTCAGGATTTGTCAAAAATGAGCGCTGTGAACCATCACGCGTCACGTGTCATATTTGAACCACGTCAGTTTTTCACACGAAGTTCACTCTCAACGTTAACGTTCAACCTTGTCTGACTCTCAATCTAACTTCCATGCATCATCCCACATACCTCCATACCTCAGTGTCTGAAACTTCACTCTCATGGTCTCACACCCTTTCGCACACCTCCCAGTAAGTTTTTTTATTTGTTTTTTTTTCCATTTTACTAAAAATGTCTGTGTCTGAAACTTCGCCCGTCCTTTCGCATGGCCTCCAAGTAAGTTTTTATTTATTTGTTGTATTTTCTTTTACTAATAATGTCTGCTTGCCTCAGCATCTGAAACTTCGCCTGTCCTTTCATGTACCTCCAAGTAAGTTTTTTTTCATTTTTTTAAATTTCCCTTGACTAATAATGTCCGCTTGCCTCAGTGTCCAAACTTCGCCTGTCCTTTCGCATACCTCCAAGTAAGTTTTTTTCATTTGTTTTACTTCCTTTTATTAATAGCGTCTGCTTCATTGCAGTCTGCCGCTTGCCTCATGTGCCGTCTGCCTTGTATGCCGCCTTTCATTCCTCGCATCCCGCCTTTCACCCTCTTCAAAATTTGCTGCTGCTGGCTCCCCATTCTTTGAGTTCATTTCTGCATCTAGTCGCCACTGCCACAAGTAGTTGTATTGTTTCCCCACTAGTACTTAGTAGTCCTATCATGTAATTATCCTTGAATGCAATATTTTGTCATTTTTGTCGAAACAAGTGTGAAATAAGTAGCCCCAACTTGCACTACTTGCAATATGGGCTATTTTACAAATAAGTGCCAAAAAAGCCAACAAAAAGTTTGAAAAAAGTTGAAGTCAAGAGGAGGCATCTACTTTTTCAACTTAAATTGCCTTGTGGCAAGTTGATGGCAAGTTGGTGTCACCGTTCTTATGAATGACTTTTCCGCTCCTTTTTTGGAATTACCTGGCAGCAAGTTGCAAAAAAGGAAGTTCAAGCAATGTGTGAATTTACTGATGTGGACAATGTTCATTGCATGGGCTTTAAACCCATGGCGCATATCAGCCAATGACAAGACCATATAGTCATGTATCCCTTTCAGTTCCGTGACCGTAGCTGTAAATTAACAATAGATCAGTGATACAACATTTTAGATGCCACTAAAATTTATATTGACCAAAAAGTTCTGTTTTGGCAGCCTGTAGTGCCGTGTTGATCATGGCGTCGCGCATAGCAGTGTCCAGGGCTGCATCTGTATCAATTGCAACATTGAAGACAAGGCTGCGAAGCTTGTCTTTCGCGAGCTCTCTGTACCTGCGTGCCATTGGTTGTGTAAGTGTCATGAGTTTGTCATCAGTGCGCGCGACTAAATGACATGTAGGTCAAGTGAATGTCAATCTCTAGTACATGTATCACAGTTGCCAAGTACAATATTCAGATGTCAAGCTGCAGCAACCAGTAGGCAACGAAGATAAGAGATATATTACGCTGCACTGCTATAACAGACGATAGCGTAGATGATCTACATATAATCCTTTATAAACAAACCCTTAAACCCGCTTTGTAAATGTCAGCGGAACATCCCTGACACCTAATGTAATAGTCATTTTGGCCTGCATGACTCTTTCGCGCCATTCCTCTTTGGTTTCCTTTTCTCCGGTAGAGACATTGACAGACAGGAGAGGCTCAACGCGCCAGTCGCGTAGAAGCAGTACTAGGAAACAAACGGCCTCAGTTGTCGCGAACTTCTTGCCAAGGCAGGAGCGTGGGCCTGGAAGCAGCATTGAATGACCATTGACATAGACGAAACCGGCAGCATGGTACATACCAACGCTAAAACCAGTGTGATCTTCGCCGCCTGCAATATATGCATTGCTCGCGCTGTTCGCATACCAACGTGCAGGTTTGAACTCTTCGGGGTCAGGGAAATATTCTGGGTTGTAATCTAGTCATCCTGTAAGGTGAAAGAGTATCCAAGAACAATATAATCACACGTACGGACACCGATCATGTCGACTATGACCTATTTATCCACAGCATGAGATGACTGACCATTTTCTGGGAAACCAATTGCAACTTACATGTGTACCTTTCTTGACTGGCAACATCTTCGGTTCCTCGTCAATGCCCGAAAGATTGAGCACTGTGTCTTGCTTCGCCTCCCTTATGAGATAGACACCAGAAGCTAGGAGGAGCTCAGCTTGGAACTAGTCAGAAGAAAAGTCACACACGGAACATTCTGACTCCTTCATAGAATGCTGCGAGAGCTTTGTCCAGTTTGCTATAGTCGTCGAATGTCTAAAAATGCGATTATGTATATGTAATGGAGACGTCTGATTTCGAACAGGCTCACAATCTCGCCATTTTCACGCCCTTTAGTGACTTCGTGAACTTGCTCGACTATCTCATCCTGAATAAATGGGTGTAATGATAAAAAACCAAGAGTAGCTGCCAGACTGTGTGATGTTGTCTCTGTGAAGAATTACTTAAAACTCTAGTATGATCAATGTGGTAAAACGCACCATGGCCAGCAAATAGCAACGCAAAGACATTCCCGATCTACAACGACCATTCAGCAAAACATTCTCCGAGATTTTGGAAAAGAGTACCAATTCCTTGTTGTCCAGATGTAGCTTTCCTTCATCGTGTTCGCTCGCTCGAACAAACAACGAAAGAATATCTTTCGATGTATCATCATCAGCTGAAGAATCTATGGCTTCACGCCTCGCCTGGATATGAGAATTCATGAATGCCCTCATGGTATCGAACACTTCACGGGTCTGCCGAACCCTATGAATCGGAATGTCAATGACACTCAACTCGAAGAATTGGGGAAGGAAAACCTACCATGGCAACGGCAATTTCCAAGCCCATCTTGGAGCTGCAATCGCAAAGGTATTTCTAAGCGTTATGATTTCCAAACATTGCTGAATCGACATTCGTCCATCATGAGAGGGTGGCTCTCCCCAGGAAAATGGGAGACCGAAGCCAGCAGTAGCCATGATGGTGAGGGTGAACTGCAAATGATTAATCTCAAGTATGAACGCTGCACGAAGACACTTACCTTGATTGTCAGTGATTGGATACGTCGAACGTCTATTGTCCCTTTCTCTCCCCACCCTTCACAGTCAATCATTTCAGAATATGCCTTGTGTGTAGCATTCCAGACAAGTTGATAGCTGTGATAATAGGTTATGGTAGGCTTATCCCGAAGCTAAGCACAAAACGCACGTGTCCTTATTGAACGCAGGTCCAGTGATCCTCCTGTGCTTTCTCCATTGATCCTGAGACGTCACCGCAACGACATTCGGACCCCAGAATCTGACATTCATTGGAATGATGCGATCGTTCGATGGAGGAGGTCAACTCACAGAAACAAGCGACCCATATCATCAACCTTCCCAAATGCACCTGTCTTGTGACCAACGGTCACGACCTGCTTGGTGACATCCATAGATCGTGTATATATTGACGGTGCACCAGAGAAAAAAGGTACCACCGAGACTGTGTCACTGTCAAAGCGACGATAAACTAGTGGTGGACAGGGATGACGGTGAATGTGCCAGATGTGTGGTGGGGATGTCAACACTTACTATTTCTGGTATGTCTCCACGTCCAGACAAAGATTACACCTAGCGGATTGCATTAGGCGATAGTATCGTACTTTGAGAGAGAAAATCCATCATACTCGGGTTCCATGACCTTTCTGGTACGAGCACGCCTAACAAACTGAGGGGCTGAAATGGCACCCATAAGCCCGGAAGGTAATCCACTGCCTAAGCGAAGAGATTAATATCGATTATGATAATAATGAAGTCATAAGCTTCGCACCTTTAGACCAGAAACGAACTTGAAGACCTTTGAGATCGTGACTGCTGCGACCAACGCAGTCGTCGCAGTTGTCCAAGATAGATCTATACAACATATTAATTCAGCTCATATCCACTGGGTTATTGAGGGATCCACGAACTCATTCCTGATTATATGGAATTCGGAATACAGTACACCGCAGAGGAAGCTTCGAATTGAGCTAGTACGGTAGAGATGATCTTGCCTGGAAAATCATCGCGACGACTCGGAGCTGTTTCCGTCGGCAGCCTCGACCGTGGCACCATGTTTCACAATCTGAACGTTGACTCGGGAACGCTGAGACATCAGTACTAAGCATGATAGTACCCTCAGATTCGTTCCTTGAGTTGAACGCATCGCGTCGCGTCGCAGTCTCCTAGTGATCGACGATCATCAGATACCGATGGCGAACGAGGCTACTTCTGTGGCGAGTGTTGGGCAGTTGTGTTGAATGCATGTTTAAACATTTGCGGACTCGGACTCGGAGGCTCGGAGCGCTCGCACCGGTTATCAATCATCTTCCGACTCTTCAGTTGGTAACACCACGCTACCTCGACGTCAAACAACAAGTACTGCTAGCAGCTACAAAGCAGCCAAGGAGGGAACTTACTAGCTGCCATCATCATCATGACCGATACTCCATGGCATACGGTGTAAGCCTGAGCATGTTCCTGTCTTGAATCTTCCAACCTCGTCCAAAACTTACCACCATGATAGTACCATAAGAGTCCCCTTTGCAAACCCAAAACATGCAACGATAGCAATGCAAGTGATTGACGTGGATCCAGAGCTTCAGAGAGAAGCCGTCAAACGCACTTTGACGGTGGACGGCAATGATCTCGTCGCGTATGTATTCACGAGAGGTCGCCTACTATCGCATACATGATGTTAACGAAACGCAGGTCATTCGCGACTTCAACTGTTCGACTGGCGAGGCTGACGACAAATGGCTTTCTGGAGAACGTAGATCTGGTAGCCCGCACTATTGGCGAGTTTGGAGAGAACTCGGAACGAAAACAAGGGATTTCTAAGTGATGAGTCATGTGGACAACAATGGTTTGTAGGGAAGACATAGCTCCCTTCGACAGCCTTCATGGTACAGAAAGAGTTCACCAATCGCCGAACTGCGATCGTCTACTTTACACGTAATTTTTTTGGCTTCTTATACGTCATCCGCGTTACCCTCAGCTTCCTTTGCCTTCTTCTTACTCTTTCTGCTCTCACGGAGGGACTTGGTCAACAGGCTTTTGAGCTCATCATCTTCCAACTCCTTCTCAGCCTTCACCAGCTCTGGCTTGTACCACACCGGAGGGTGAGTCAACAGCAGCGGGCCGGCAGGAACTAATGCGATCGTAAAGTGGAATGCTGCCACAAATGTGTTTGCAGGAGTGTACCTACGGCGATGTCATTAAATGCGTCAGGAATTAGGGACGTGATCCACGTACACGACTTCATACGGCTTGATCAAGCCATGTTGCACGGCCTCTTGAAGACCAAGTCTTGCTCTCTTCTCATCCTCCAGTGCACGAACGTTGAATGGAAAGGCGCCAGCCTTTTTCTGCACTTCAGAGAACACCGCACGCGAGTTCTTCATCTTCAGCTGATAAGTTACTGAGCTATCTTTTTGGTAGATGGTCGTCCGAGAATCCTCGATACGTGCCTGTCGAATGTTCAACGATCAAGGGTCATTTTTCGTTTGCATTTAGCATCAGACCTTGCCATCCTCTCCTGAGGAAATGAGAATATCAATTCCATAAACCTCGTCTTCCGCGAACGTGATCGACTCAATATCACGTTTCTGCGCTTCGTTCGGATTCAGAATGATGCGCTTCTTGCCATCAATGACATTTTGCGACTGCTGACAAGAGAGCATGCCTGAATCCGTAGCATCAGATGCGAATTGCTTGCACAGCTCATCACAAAACTCACCTTCAACAGGCTTGCAATCCCACGCCGCAGCAGTTTTCGCAACGGCATCGGTGACCGTAAAGTTTTTGTTGCCAACCTTCACGAGCCTCATGGCGATCTCAGCTGCATTCCAAGCTGCCTTGATTACGTCTGCTTTTCTGCCAGTTACGGGTTCTTGCTCGGATGCGCCGACGACGATGGTCTCCGCGCTGATGGCAGCGAAACCGTCGATGTGTGCACCGATGTGTACCTTTACTACATCACCTTAGCAAGGGCCTGGGATGATAGGGGATCTGAACTATAATAAAGTAAAGTTCTAAAAGGGTCTACGCGATGAAATATAAAAATCTACGCACGCCAGAGGGGAGAAATGGGAGACAGTGTTATTCACAGAAATCGATGTGGGGAATGCAAGGCCTTTTGTCAAAAGTCATGGACATCGCTTCAAAAACATAAAAATGATCTGACGCACCCTTGCCCATTTTAACACCCTTCACAGCTTTATTGTAAACTCCACCAGTCCCCTCCTCAATGAACTTGTCACCCTCGATACAAAGATCGATGATCTTTGCGCCCTCGACGCAGAGCTCGATCAGTTTCTTCATAACATCGTGCACGATGTCACCAGCAGTCTATACGACATCACAGTCGTTCGATCAGACTTCACGAACCAAGCACGATGATTACTACGGCCTTCATACCTTGTACTTTGTTACATCGGCTTCGCTGATCAACCGTGGTTTTTCTGCAGGCTTTGGTGCGTCTGTGGTAGCCTCAGCCATAGTGTAGAATAAATGCAAGAATAGGAAAAATCAAAAGAAGAGAATGCACACGAGGATTGGATAGATTGACTTGCAGGCACCTCAAACTTGGTATTCCCGATATGGTAATATATATCTTTCCTCAAAACTCCTGAGTCTACTGTGACGTTGCCTCTCTGCTAGGTATAGGAAGTATGGAAGATCCTTCGATATATCACTGATAACTACCCAAAGACCAGCATCCATCCCCATATGCCAGACGAGTCCATTCGTTCAATGTCGCCCTCGAAATGAAGCTTGCCGACGGTCCACGGACGTGTTTGCGTAACAGTTCGAACTTCGCCAACGTAAGCCCGGATCTGGGATACCGAATATTTTTGTCTGCTCATGGAACAATCTATACAGTGCCAGCGTAGCTCTGTGATCATGTACCCAGTGCTGCGTCCAACTTTCCGATTCTTTTCAAGCTGATTCAAATGGAGTCTCATTCAGCAGTTTCCTGACATCTGGGCCAGTGTTCCAACCAATACACGCATCACAGTCCCAATACAATCTGTAACCCTGCAGCCACTGTCCCTGACGAGTCGTTTCTATGCCACATACACACTAAGGTATGTTTCAGAGCGTCATGATCGAATAGTGTAACGTTTGGGGCCAGGTCGATGCGATGGGCACCGGCAGGAGGAGACGCATAAGGTATGGGACTTTTTCTGGTTTCTCTCTGCTAGCACTCACGATAAAGCTTCAGCCGCCTACGCATGCCGCCATACTCAGGAGTGATTAGACTGCTGCGTTTCGAGAAGATAGGACACCTCATATCATTACCATATCTGGTACAAACGGTGTAGTACCTACGCGGAGCGTTAATTATTGACCCATGGAGATCTTGATTCTTGTTCGCCTGTTTTTTAAGCCTCTTCTATGAAAGGTACATTGGCCAGGAGACTATTTTGGTGCACACTTCTTCCGGTAGGATATGAGGAACGCCATCATTGAGTATCAAGAAATTAGTCGCGAGGGTTTTTCTGGTTATCATGAATCGATGCTATAATTTTCTATAGTTATACTCGCTAATACATTGAAGTTCAATGGAGTATACAGTCTCAAGACGAAGGCACACCATATATATCTCTATACTCCCTCATCGCCCGCAAACTTCTCTTCTCTTCCTCTGTTGTCTGCCCTTGTGCTTCCTTTTCCTCTAACCACTGTACTAGATCTCGCATCTTCAAGACACTTCGCACCTTCCCCTTACCTCCCAGTAAAGTCTCCAGCTTCATCACCGAGCTGACCTTGCATCCCCGCTCGTCTATCTCGGAAAACTCCTCCCGATCGAGAAGTTGTACAACTCCAACCACTTCTCCGCCCTGCCGAGCCACAAGTTTTATAGTAGAGCTTACTGCAAGGCCAGTGGTCATCACGTCGTCCACAATCACTACGCGCCATTTCTGATTGCGACCTGACGGCCATCCCACGACATTGCCGCCTTCACCGTGATCCTTTACTTCCTTCCGATCGTATGCGAACTTGACATCGCGGCCATATGTGGATGCAAGTACGAGTGAGGTACAAGCTGCGAGGGAAATGCCTTTGTAGGCAGGTCCAAAGAGAATATCGAAGTCGGAAAAGGGGTTGACCATGGAATCATCATCGTCATCAGAGGCCGCAGCGCAGAGGGTGGCAGCATAAGCTTGTGCGACTGTGTATAAAATGGTGCCATCGGACATGAGACCCGCGTTGAAGAAGTAGGGAGATTTACTGGCGTGAGTCCAGGATAAGTCGATGGAAACAATTATGCATGTCACTCACCGGCCAGATTTGAGCGTGAAATTGCCGAATTTGAGAGCACCGACTCGCGCAGCTTGCTCGAGGAGTTGTGTTTTGTAAGAATCAAGCGAAGGCATTTTGGCAGTCTGAGGTCTGGCCGCAGATAAGATAGTCTCGTCTGGTCCAGAGTGAGCTTTAATTTTAAATGTAAAAATGGGTCACGTGAACAATTCATATCCCACTTGTTGATCTTGCGCTGATCAAAAGTACTTGTTCTCGAACAATATGCGGAACTGTTGGAAGCCATTGATCCTCGAAAACCCACAGTGATAACCAAAATATCGGTACAATCGACCGAGGATATCAAGATAGCGTATAACCTTTTCCATCGCAACTGCCAACGATATCAGCACTTCCGAGTCGTATCACATTCGCCAGCTGGACTATTCATACCTTGAAGATGACTCAAGACTCGGCGAACGCCTCCATTTTATCGGACAGCACATCTTTTTTCGGGAAAGACTCTTGGACATGGATTTTTGCGCCGATAACGAAACCGTTTTCTGTTTATTCTTGGGACTGCTGGCGACGCCTGTGTGCATTGTGGCAACAATACATCTTGACACACCTTTGTAAACTGTGCGGCACGTATTATTTCTGGGACATCACGTCTTCTCAACATGCAAACTATCACATCCTCTTCCTGCCCAGAATTCGAGTACGCACGCGCGGAAAGTGCTGCAAGAGCAGGGTATAACCTAGACCCTATCACCCGGCTACCCTAGTATAAGCATAATCCAGGTGGTATGCTTTACACGACGCCTGGATGCGGGAGGGGAGATCATGATCATGATTATTGTTATGCAGAAGGGGGTGGCATGGAAGGTCAAGCTCCTTCAAGTTGGCAGCGCAAAAAGAAGAAGTCGACTGCCACTGATGCAAGTACCGCATTGGCCACGTCAGTATCGACCACGATCCCCTCATTTGCCGCACCAGCAATCCTGTGTCCATCACTTTGACTTCTCCATCCTTTCAGAGTCTACCTTCTCGCCGCTTATTTCCCTTTCGCCACCCGACATCGCGGCTCACATCTCTATCATCATGGACTGCAGCACCTCGCTCAAGAGATTGTGGGTTCTTTTGGAAGTATTCCACCATCGTCTTGTCACCGTGCACCCGTCTGGCAATAACGGCCATCTGGCCATCTGTGGATGTAGTGATTGTGTAGCCTGACTCGCTATCAACGGAAATCGCCATCGTATCCGTCTGGTCCGAGTCACCTGTCTGCATGCTCCTGACACGACGGTCAATATTCTTTTGGTCGGGCGGATGATCACGAAGGGCTGTGGTTATGATTGTCGTTGTAATCCGCCTCGCTGTGAGCCCGTGTGAATCTCCCGTTGGGATTATTCCCTGTCTGATCTTCTTTGTCGATCGCACTTTCATTCGTCCTGAGCCCGAGTCTACCTCGCTCCCTCCACAGCTCGATGACTTTTCCTTTGTGAAAGTTGCTCAGAACCTCGAACTGTTGCTCACTTGCTTTGAAGGTGACACCGATAAGGATACGGAGGGTTGCTGATTGGGCAGTTCCTCACCCTATCAAAATGCAAGTTTCATCATGCCTACTAACGTATGAGGCCTCAATTGCATCGCAACTCGGCACGGAAAATATTATTTCATAATCCTCACACGTTCTAGACCGTCTTGAGCTTCTTGCCAGCCACCATCGGAAGCGTGGCATACTATGAATGAAGGTATATGATTTCGTCGGAAAGAGCAATTGTCATTTAAATCCCCATACGTTTCAATCCTGGCCTTATACCTAAACTATCGATGCACGCTAGTACTGTATCGATCTTGTCCGAATCTTGTTGCACTTCTTGATCCATTCCTTACAAGCTCCTCTCTGTATAAATACATAATAATGTATAGTTCACAGCTGCTTCTTACAACTCTAAAGGTGTTAGGTCGATTTCACAACGTTGCGGCTGCGATGATCGAATCCGATCACTCATATCAATATTGGTTTAGATGCAGAAGGCCCTATATAATATACAGGAGCCACAGATGTGCTGAAAATGCCTAATATAATCAGTCCATTCATTGAAGCATGTGCGAGATTGTGTATGATGAAGGGGTATATTTATGAAGTTGTGTGTCATGATTCATGATTTAAAACATACAAAGCCACGAAGGCTCCGGCAATATTCCGCTGATTCATCTTGAGAAGAACTTGCATTTTCCTGCGGCAGAGAGTTACGCCAGAGGCGCCAATCTGGAGGTTTGCCGACGGGCTCGTTCCACGTCAATTCCGCTCGCATGCGTCCTCGTAAGCTAGTACGATCTGCCATGTCGCTGTAGGAATACAAACAAAAAGTCAGTTACGTAGGTTCATTCGTTCAAAAAGCGAACGAATTACTTTTCCCAGTTGATCCAATCGCGTTCAAAGTAATCACGAAGTGGATTGGTAGGCGACGGGCGGAGGTCGGACCGAGCTGAGGTAGGCTTCTGTTGTGTTGTTCGGACAACTCGGGGTGTGGGGTCTTCGTTATACAGTCTTTCGTAGGCACTCCAGATCGACTCTTTACAACCCACGATTGTCCGCACGGTCCGAGCTAGGTGCATGCATGCCCACGACGACATGGTTTGCTCAGAACCCTCTGCCGTCATCACAGAAGCACGGGCGCTGGGATCGGCTTCGGATGACGGTTGGGCTGACAAGGCCCGAAGCTCGAAAAGAGTTGCAGGATCAACCTGTATAGTCGATACCGAATGTTGAGTTGTGAGCTGTTGTCTGGCAGAGGAGTCGAGTGGCAAGGGAATTTGCAGGGGGAGATGCGACCGAATACTGGGGAATGATAACGAGAGATACAACGGCAGGATGGAAAGTAGTTGCGGTGACAAGAAGTAGTTGTATAGCATTTCCTCCCACGCGCGCTGAAGTCGTGTGTGATCTTGAGGATCTGGGGGTTTTGGATGCTTGAGTTTGGTATCCAGCGTGGAGGGTAGTGAGGTTGACGAAGTTCCAGCAATCGTATCTAGGCTGGTATTTGTGTCATCTTTGGCTTTCAAGGACGAAACAGATTTGTGGTAAGAGGTTGCAGTTACAACTGTATTCGAGCTCTGGGTAGAGCTACCAGAAGACTGTCCGCTACTGGGTGTCACATCGTGTGATCGCGTAGATTGGCAGGGAAATAATAGATCTTCTTCAATAATCTAAAAGTCCGTCAGGGTAGCTCTATACGTAATACGGCCGAAGAACAGCTCCACACCTCGAGTACACCGTCAGGTTTGAGGATGCGGGCGATCTCCTGATGTGAGTTGGACAAAAGCAATTCAAAAGGTTTTACGACGCGCGACAGATGACTCGCTTACCGCCAGAACTGATGGCCACTGTGAAAAAGCCATTAGTAAGTCGATAAGTCGATGCCAGTGACACTAACCTCATCTTCTGGGATGTGCAACCCCATTCGGACCATCCTCACGAAGTCAAATTTGTCGGTCGAAAATGGTAGCTCTTCTAGTCTGAAGAAGTGCATCAGTTATAATGCAGAGCATAAAATGCGCAGAGAACACGTTACAGATTGCCTTGAACCCATTTTAACCGACGAGAAACAGACTTTTCGAGGACATTAAAGCCTGGTTGCATGCGGTCGATGTCGAAACCAACGACTATGCTGCCCTGCACACTTCCGTGAAAAATACGGTTGTGCTGTATGTATTCTCACCAACCTGCCATTGCTTGGCGGCTTCGATAGCCCAAAGACCGCGCCCACATCCGAGATCAAGAATTGTAGATGGAGGTCCGTCGAAATCATGAAGAGTCAAGCTCCTGCAGCAGTTTGTTATGAACATATGATCCCAGTGATCACTGGGACATCATTGGTGAGAACGACGAAAGTTGAAGCTTGTTAAGAAAGAGCTCACAAGTCCACAATGTCATTTGTATATGTCAAGGGCGAAATGACCTCGTCGCGAAGCCGCTTACATTTTGGCAATGAAAGCAGGTCGACGTCGATGTTCGTATGTGGGCTATCGTTCATGGTGGAGGAAGAAGGTGCATGGGTATGTGAGATGCCAACGGCCATGTAAATGGTAGTGGACGCTACGGATAGGCCAGTTTATGAGGCCTGGGTTTCGAAAGTCAGCAGTGTAGCTTAAATCAACACGATAAATTGATCTACCTTAAAAAATTTGGGGAATGGCCGAGGAAAGCCGCATCTTCTCCAGGCATGTCATGAAGGTTGTACCATTCATAGACTTGCAGGGCCGCGAAGATAGGAAAGATGCCGTCGCTTGGGTTCGCTTCAGACATGTAATCTGATTTGGTCCGACTCGGTTTCTCATAATCGTGTGGGTCCGCAGTAGTGTCCGGTGTCCTGATAGTTATTTCTGGGGTCTTGACAGTAGTCTTATTGGGTGATCACTATAACACTGAACCTTCACCTCGACTCCGATGAGCTCACTACGTCTTATTAGCAGCGTTGCGTCCAAGCGACATTTAAGTTTGTCCCCCCTATCATGGCGCGCCTATGCAACGCCTGCAACTTTCAAACCCCAAGAAAAAGACCCTCAACTAGGCGATTACCCTGACCTTCCATGGGTTTCCGACCAGGAACTTCCTGCCAGAGGCTGGTGGGATCAACAGATGCGACGGAACTTCGGTGACCCGGTCAGCACATTACCCAGTTCCCGGCGCGTAATCGCGTCTCAGACTTTACCTTTTTTCAGATACAAGAATACGACGAAGTTCTGTCCATGTGGGGACCTGATGCTCCCCCGATTCCTCCGCATAAGGCTTTGTTTCAGCTTTCTCTCGCCTTCTCGGCATTCGTTGGCTTTGGTTTCCTATGCAAGTACGCGCTCGTTCCAGAGAGGCCAACTGTACCCCGGGAATACCCGTACTCCGGTCTTGTACGTGAACTTGGCGGACTTGAAGAAAACAAGGTGGGCCTGCTCCACGTGTGCACTCAATGGGTCAATTTGACCCTTATTCTAGGCTAGAGAAGAGACTGAAGAGATCGACGAGTAATAATGCGTTGTAACCTAGACTTCGCGTTTCTTATCCGGGAGGCTTTCACTCTCACGCATTTTGCTATCTTTGCATGAGCCTGCCAATTCCCTACCGTTGAGTAACTGGACTACGCCAAATGCATTGTCTTTCCTGGAAATAACGCAAGTTCAGAACTTCGGATCTTAGGAAGTACATATGCTATGATGGTAGTTATGTACATGTTGCTTAAGCTAAGAACCCTCGGACTCTGCCGCAAGCATGGTGTATGTGTCAGATACTCGGGACCCTTTCGCCACTGGTCTCGCCCTTGGGCGAAGACGGGGTTTTGATGTTTCTGTGGCGGAAGCACTATCATCAATCACATTGCCGACATACTCATCCCCAGTTTCGGAATGGGATTCCTGAACTGTCTTGGAGGACAAGCCCCGCGCTCTGGCGCCACGGCCCTTCCCTCTGCGGCCAGTCCCTGTCCCCTGTTCTTGTTGTCCTACTGCGGAACTAAGTTTCGTTCGGCTCTTAGCACCTGTTTTCCTCTTTTTGGCAACAGGCTCCTTCCCGTCTTCGAGTACAAGGACATCTGCCTTATCAGACACTGGTGTGCTTGTATTCTGTTTTGCCTGCTGGTTTCGGAAATCCGTAACCACTTGCTGAAGACGCTTACTTCCATACGCTTGTCGTTTCCTTGGGACATGTAATCCGCTACCGGTTGCAACATCAAAAAAGCTGTTTAAGTTGCCTTGCCGATTCATAGCTGCAGCCTAGCAAACACATTGAATCAATAATCATTGATTTGCCACGTGGCTTGGTCCGTACCTGGTTCCGCTTATTCATTTTTTGAATGATCGGTAGAAGTGATTCGTCAACTTTGGTTTGGTTCCAGCGTAGTTCTTCGTGGAAAAAGCTGTGGAGCTGTGAGCATTTTTTTTTTCAAGTGCCGGAGGTGGTCATTACGCACTGTCTGAGGGCGTCGAGGTCGGGCATACCCCATTTAAACGGTTCATCTGATGAATCCACCGTCGGATGATAATAAGCATCCCTCTACGGCACGGAGATTACCTCTCCATTGCAGCCCAACAAAACAGCAGCCACTCACCACCGACGCATTAGGCCATTCCAGGGGCAGGTATAAGTTTTTGAACTTCTTTTTCTAGATCAAAAGATAAGCACATATAATAAACTAGCATCAAAAATTTTCTGCAAGGCACATACGAAACGCTCGCGAAATTTGGTAGTATTATCCTCTGCTCGATCTCGCCCACTTTGGACTTTGGTCCACCAGTCCTTGAACTTATGAAGGCCGTCCTCGCCCGGAAACTCTTTTAATAGTTCCATGGCTATCACAGGACCGACACCAGGGAGCCCCTCCACGTAGTCGCTTCCGAGCAGGTACGCCAGACGGATGAGCGTATCGCGTTCCAGGCCAAGCTCCCGGGACAGATCGGAGGAATGAAAACACTCCACAGTCTTGGATTGATTAAACATATTCTTGAAAACGCGCATGCCTCCGAAAAGGAAAACGTCCGAATCATCCGTTATGATGCCCTCAACTAAACCTAGCGACATTAATTCTGCGCACTGTGCTTCTGCTTCCATCGGTGCGGTTATGTATGGAATCCCGAAGAGACGTAGTAAGAGCTTGGACCCGATGGTGAGCTCAAATAAATAGTACTACCTTCAGCACGGTACACATACCATAATTTGAGAGATCATTTGTTGAGTGATATCTTCTGAATCACGGATCGCTGCTTTCTTCTGTTGATTCAACGTCCGAATCTCTTCGTCAATCTCATGTCTGACGGCATCCAAATCTTTGCCCTTGACTTGCGAGATGAACCGGGCAAATTCGCCTTCTTCAGCATGTGGATCCATTTCCTCAGTAGCATCCCAAGTTTCCACAACAGCAGACGCTCCTTGATCAGTACTCTCCGGAGCAGTACCAAGCACAGGTGACGGAGACCGCGACCATTCGATATCAGATTCATCGTCGCTCTCAGGTATCCGAGCTTCGGGCGTGACCACATTAGAGGTCGAAGGCTGAGGACGTTCTAATGACTTTGGTAGCCGAAAAGATGCAGGAGACATTGATTGTCGTTCTTCGGCTGCATCCTCCGGTGCTGAGACTGCTGCAGGTACAAAACCCTCGGATACATCATGGACGTGACTGCCATCAGTGACTGGGACTTCTTCCATGTCATCGTCCGAATCTTGTGCAGCCTCCTGCGAAATTTTGGGAGATTGTGGCGGCTTGACATGGGCGCTAGTAGCAATGGGCGATGGCTTTCTGTGTGATGCTTCAACTGCCTGTACAGGCAATATTTCATCCATGCTTTCTTCTGATTCTGACAAGGATGATTGAACGATTGGCATGGGACGCGATGCTGTCTTCGGTGAAACTAACAAAGCCGCCTTCCCAAACGCAGATTGTGATGGAAGATCATGCAAGGTTCCAGCCAGCCTTCGCACCGGACCAGCCCCTGCGATCGAAAGTGCGGTCTCCAGCCGAGAAGGGGACGTGTATAGATCATCGTCAGAATCATGGAGTCGAAGAGCAGGTTTTGACTGAGGAGTTGCAGGAGGGCTAAATTTAGAAGGAGAAGGTTCTGAAGTGACTAAACGAAAGTCAAATTTCGCAGTATCCCTGCCCTAGAAAAACTTACTAGGCTTATAATTTGCAGTATGATCTTCTAGTGAAGCCTGGATGGCAAGGGCAAGCTCAGGATCCTCGATATGATCAAATTCGCCATCCAAGGGTCTGGATATGTCCTCGTCATCATCCAGGTCAAATAAAGGCTTTGATTTGATTCGCCTCTGGACAGGTTTTGGCATGGATGGCTGCAAGCGTTTGCCTATCGCGTGCAGTGCCATACTTGCCTGGAACTCTCGAAGATCGGGATCAGGTGTTGCATTCCCTGGTCTGACAACACAATGAACGGATGATCAATGATAACGAAGGATTCCGGCAGCATACATACTGACTTCCTCCATCTGCATGTCATCATCGCTGTCGCTTTGAAGCGTGGGCTTGTCTTGATCAATTTCAATTGGTTTTGACCGCGTGCCGTCGTCTCGGATGCCTAAGACCCAACCACCGTCCGCCCCATCGTTCTTGACAAGAACATACTCTCTGTTTCGCTCACTGGCAATTCGAACAGGAATGGTGATGTGTGCTTTACCGATGCTGTCAGTAGTCATCAAGAGTTGTTGAGTCAGAGCATTTCTTTGCTTGAGATTCTTGATTTGTTCTCGGGAGAAGTCCAAAGGAGTTTCTGCCTTCTGTAGCATGTTCTGCAAGCGCTTGTACGATGTCTGACGTGATTTCAACCGAAGGTCACCAACAATTTCGTACTGAACTTCTGTGGGCAGCTCTCGGAATGCTGGAGAGGATACATCAAAGTCCTCCGGACGCATCTCCTCTATAAATGTCCGGAGCTCTTCCTCTGTGGCAAGGCGCGGGTCTGGAGCCTGCGAACTAGTAGCCTTCGCCACGCGCTCTTCAAGGTCCACTTCTGGAAGTCTGTAAGGATCATGATCATAAAAGCGAGCTTTCTTTTTTGACGAAAGAGGTGTTTCTTCTGCTTTCTTCTTTGCCGGTGTCTTCGGTGCAGAATTATCAATGTCCTCAAGGTAAACCGCATTCTCGTCCAGGACCACGGGTCCTGAGGGCACTTTCTGCTTGCCCTTTGACGATGAAGGACTGGCTTACATATATAAGTATTTGCACACTCATTCAGGATACGATAGGTCGCATACTGTGACGCTTGAGCATGTACTAAAGCCTCCCGTCTCATGTGGGCCGCCAGCAGCCTCTCCGCAACCTTGGCGTGAGTTGCAGCGGCACCACTCTTCTTCTTCTTACGCTCGATCTATACCACTCTGTCAGCATTTCAGTGAGCAGAAAGAAAGAGTGCCTTACAATCGTGTTTCTCTTAAGCGCAGGAGCTCCTCCATCAAACACGAAGACTGGGCGAATCCCATAGAATAATAGCTTGCAGATACGTCGGAAGAAACCAAGCACATGTGCGTTAACCAATCCACGTCCATCCTTGTCGCGCATAGTAGCTTGAAACTGGTAGATCCAAATACTAGAATCAATGGCAAGAGCTTTCCCTTCGATAGTCTCGAGCCTAGCATGAATCCAACGTTTAAGTATGTCAGAACCCCGGAAATCATGGAGTACATACGGCACTGGGCGACCCACTGGAGACAAGAGGTCCCATAGTGACTTCACACCCATCTGTCAATCTTCTAAGAACGTGAGTGCGGGTGTAGTTGCGCAGAAACTTTGATCAGACTCGGACAAGACTCCTGATCCGAGTAATTGGTTCACGTGGGCCGAATATGATTGCATCCGCTGACTCGAATTCCTTTGCACAATGTTCACCAGTAAAAAGCAATTTAAGAAACACCTGAAACTACCGTAACAATCTCTTCAGGGTCCCAGATATAACGATGCGGAAGATAACTTGATATGACCAAGTCCATGAAAAATGTAGGTATGAAAAGTGATAAACTAGGCAAAAGGCATTTTATGGTCGTAAACTTCGTAAAAAAGGCGCGATTGAATTAACTGTCATTGCACGCCTGACTGAGAAGGAGAGATGCCTAAATGAGAAGTGTAGAAGTAAGAGACCGCAGATCAATTTTTCGGGTTGTCGCGGGCATCGACGGGGCGTGGTCCGGCGGGCGATCCTTGACCAGCCGAGCTGTTCCGGGACGAACTGTGGCCATTGCGCTGACCCTGCGCGAGCGAGCCGGGAGGACGAAGGTCTTCCATATTAGCTGGAGAATACCGTGCGTCGAACGCCGAACCACCTGTCATCTGCATGCCCATACTTCCCATGCCTCCCATACCACCACCTGCTATGCCACCGCCTCCCATCCCCATCCCCATACCTCCGCCCATATGATTCATGCCCAAGGGGTTGCCCATCATCGGCATGCCCATCATCGACATCCGAGGATCGTAGCCCATCCCGCCGCCGGTCATCATGGGGTTCATGGGCGTGGGGTGCATGCCATCGCCGACATGTGACCCGGCAGAGGAATATGCCATCATAGCTTGTTGGTAAGCAGCTTGCGCTGCCTGCTGTGCAAAGAATTGCGGATTGCTAAATCCTGGCATCATACCCGGATAACCCATATATCCACCGGTCATCATGGGGTTGGCACCGTTCATCATGGGGTTGGCACCAACCATCATCGGGTTCCCACCAGTCATCATTGGGTTCAGGCCCATCATCATAGGATTGGCCATCATTGGGTTGGCCATCATGTTCGGGTACTGTTGGCCACCTCCATACATGCCCTGCATCTCCAGTTGATTGCGTTGGAAGTCGTCAATCTTGCGTTGCCGCTCTTCAGCCATCCTTTTTTCGCGCTCACGCTCCGTCAAAGCAGCACCAACGCCACCTTCACGTTTACGCTCGCGTTCATGAGCAGTGATCGCACCCAAGAGACCCGTCTGAGGTGGTGGTGGTTTATTAGGAACGTTGATGAGTGAAGCACCAGTTTCCCGCGCAAGCTCTTCTTGTCTCTTGGCAGATCGGTCCTGCTTGTCCTGCATCCCAGCAGATAGCAGACCGTGAGGAGTGAAAGCTTTTGTCATGGATTGGGAAGCAGGTTCCAACTGGATGAAAGGGTCTCGTTGATGTGAAGGAGTTTCAGGTTGAGGATGAGAACCGGGCGTACGACCAGGATCAAGAACCTGTGTCCAAATGTTTTGACGAGCGGCACCGTGTTGGTTAAAGTCCGCTTGTGGACGAAGGACTTGGGAAGTATATTCAGACTGTGGACGCAGGTGAGGGGCATCATCTGGTGTTCGCATGTGCTGATCGGAAGCGAGTCGCCGAGGTGGTGGCATGGCGTTCATATACTCATCTGACACACCGCCTGTAGATCATCAGCTCAGGACATTCAACAAAAGAAAGGTATGCTGACCTTGTGTCAGCGGCCTCGGAACAGGCGGCAGATTACGAGGATGTCGTAACTGCGCGTAGGGATTCGCGTCCGTTGCTTGTTCTCCAGGTGTCACAGCACGCCCTGCACTACCGGGACGCAGAGGTCTAACAGCCGGAACCGGTACTGGCGGGACAGGAGCCGGCTTCTTGCTCTCCAAAGTCGAAGGGGATTCCTCATCAGAATCAGCATCTTCGTCATCCTCTTCTTCCTCTTCCTCCTCTTCTTCCTCACTGCTCTCATTCCATCCAGAGACCCTGTTCCCAGGTTTGACACGCTTCCCGTTCGCTCTCCCAGGCTTGTGAAGCACTGCCTGATGCTGCGCCTGTGCACGCGCCTTTCGTTGTGCAGCCTGCTTTGACGGAGCAAATGACGACCTGTACTGCGTAACGCCCTCCGAGCTCTCAGATGCAGCACTACCTTCGACAGTAGGCTCTGACGACACGTCTTGTTCTATCAGCGGCGGCTGGGATGTAGTTGCAGGCGGGGGTGCGACATCAGATGTACCATCAAGGAAAGACAACGCAGCAAGCGCATCTACATTAACTTCGTCGCCGCTGTTCTGCTTTTGGATGATCTTCTGTTGCGAATCCGTCATGGCCTGGACGTGAACGTACTCTAAAGAAGGTGAGGAAATTGAGGTGATGGCTTCCACATTTGGGCCTCGGCTAGAAATAGGTTGGACACGTGCACCGGACGGCTTACGGCCGAGAGAAGGGCGCGAGCCAATCATGCTGTGTTCGCTAATATTAGCTTCCGTCCTTCCCAGCTCCGAAAATGACATCGGCGTTTCCCGACGCGGGTGCAATGGGTTGTCAGACACTGAGCTCTCTTCGGAATTTGAGGCTTCAGAAATGGTGGTTGGGACACGTCGCGGCGGGTTTGGGGGCTTTTCGTCGAATTGCTGCATGAAGAAGAGAGCGTCTGAAAAGATACTCTGACTGTCTTGTACTGGGGGCTGTGCGGGGGCAACAGGAACTGTTGCTACAGAAACAGGCGCCCGCGGTGTTGAGTTTGATAACTTGGCTTTGGGAGGCAAGGGCGGTGAGCCTGTATTATGCTGCGTTATAAATGGGTGAGGCGGAGACAGTGCTCGAGGCGGTAGCTGTAGAACATCCTGTACATCTTGAATAGAAGGTAACTCTTTATCCTTCCCTTTGGGAGAGTAAGGCGATGTGAGACATGAAAGGGGCGAGCCAGGAGGGGGAGTTCTCGAAGCCGGTGATCTGATGGGCACAGGTGCAACAAGGGAGGACAACAACATTCCTGGCGAAGTAGGCCTACCATTTCCTGAACTAGGACTTGTCGAGCTCGTAGAAAATGTAGGTGACCCAGGAGACTCAGGCGTAAGAGGAAGTTTGAACCCGCCAACATCTACACTCGCAACTGTTGATGGCTCTGTGTTCCTCATATGTGCAGTCTCCAAGCTCGATGTAAGCTTTGAGTCGGAACGCAAGGTAGGAGGAGGGCTTCCAGTCGGTGGGGGACCTGTGATTGACCCAGGTATGTTCTCTAGGACAGGGTTCAACGAAGTAAGCATCTGCGACTGGCTGTGCTCGGACATGGAACGCGACATAAAATCCTGATGCCCGTTGCTCATCGACCGTCCCACCGAATCTGGCTTCCCACTCGACATCGACGAGCTGCTTATCATCATCGACTCAGGCTCGTTGTGCTCATTCGACATCGAACGGCTTTGCGTACGAGGGAAATCCGGAAGCGTTTCACGCGTTGCGCTCCGTTCCGTGATGGGGGAGAGAGCGTGACCAACAGTGAGGTCTGGTGGCGAGCGCAAGTCGAAATTGATCGTGGGGAGCTGGGGGGCGTCAACAGGTTGACCATCCTGAGTTTGTGATCGGGGCTGAGTAACATCTTGTGACGGCTGTTGCTGTTGTGGGCGATTAGGATCAACACCTAGACCAATGGGTGGCAGGGGGGGTGGCGCAGATACGGCACGCAGTCCAGGCATACGTGAGTGGAGGATATTTAAAAGACGATTGCGAATAGCAGAGGTACGGTCGTCACGTGGGTCCATAGACTCTGCAACTTCACGATCAAGGAACAACAGCTATCATCCAATAAATTAGTAGACTTTGTGCTGAGAAACAACTTGCACTCACGTCTCTCCCAGGATTGACTGGATAAGCAAACATCAGCGAAACTGGATCACGAGGGTCCCAGGTGTACACTTTCGGACGTCCGTATAGCTCAAAGGCGTCATGAAGCGCTGAATAAATGGTGAGTCATCATGGTCTGGGCGACTGAAACAGTCTACTCACCAACAAGCCACTTGAGCATCTCGGATGCTTGTGTATTCCCTGCTTCAAGCTCAGGCATAATAAGCAACCACCCCTCCCTTCGTTTCATCGTGCCCGCCGTTTCCTCGTCACCAATTAGACCCTCAATTTTCATGAGTGTGCTGCGGTTGATCAACTCCGGGCGCTCTGGGTACACTGCAAACGCCTGTGAAACCTCCCTGAGTGTAAGAAGGGGGTGCTTCTTGTCCCTTGGCCTAGGAGATGCATAAAGTGCAAGCAAAGGCTTCATTGGTAGAGGTTCAGGGGAGTGATCACGCGAGAAGAGATTCGACATGCGTTTCTTGGGAGTAGGTGTGGTGCCAGTGGTAGTAGACGGGGCTCCAGGTTCGGTGTACAAAGTTTGCGACCCAGATATGACCATCCACATGCGTTTCCAGTCTGTTTGCCCAGCAACACGTATGAGCACCCACCCTTCCATGCGGCCACGGACGAGTGTTGTACGGGTGTCTTTGCCTGAGAAACATGACGTCAGTGTCGAACATACTCTAGTGAGACAACTGACCTTCAAGCAATGTTATACGTATCAAATGGGCAGTGTACATTTCTTCGAGACGAGACTTTTCCCAAGCAGATAATCGTAGAGCTGTTGCCCATGACTCCAATGCCGATGCTGACGGACAACTGAATAAAAGCAAATTAGAGCCTGCCGTGTTGAGAGTGAAGACGTTCATATATGTCTTCCGCGGTTGATCTGGACCCTCGGCGGGGCCAGTCACTGAACCTAGTACGTGAACAAACTACAGCCAGCGTCATCACCACTAGCATAGAAGGACAGTGGAATGGACTCACGGCATCCGTGATATTCACATACGTAGGAGGCACCTCAAGGCCCTTCTTGCTTGCTTCTTCGATCTCCTTCATGTCCCATATGCTCAACGTTGTGCCGCTAAGTTGTGCCCAGATGTCGAACCATCCATCATCTTTGGGACGTTGGCCATCCGGCTGGCGCTGTACGCGTTTTACTAGTGGGCCGCTGAAGTAGACCTTTCGGGCATGCGCGACAGTGAGCTGAACAATGGAGCGTATTTCAGGATGAAGAGGGGGAACAGCTGAAGAATCTCTGCGGGCTGCTAAAGCCGTGTCAGACTCTTGGTCATCCTGCTTCTCTGGCGAGGAGCGCATTGGACCCATTGTTTGAGCGCGCTGTTGGTTGTTTTGTGGTGCGAAGTCGCGGTCTTGTGCGCCGGTGCTTGGGCGTCGGTTAGATTGCTGCTGGTGATCGGTACTCGCGTCACTTGAATGCGGCAACTGTTTTCGAAAAGAAAAGAAAGACGAAGTGCGAAGGTGTGACATTGTATTAGCGACTGATTGTTGTTGAGCAGGTCTCGAGACCGACTGGTCCTCCTGTTGAGTTGTCAATGTTACTGCTCCAGCGCTAGGGTTGTTGTTGTCGCCTGGAGGAGTTGTTGCAGGTTGTCGTGCGTGAAACTCGTGTAGATCGGTTCCTCTGCCTGGACTAGCTTGTCTGAGCTGTTGTAGTTCAGCGGGAGAAATAAAGCCACGATGACGGTTATCCCATTGAGGACTACTTGAGCCTGAGCTCATAGATAGTGCCATAAACCGACAAAGTCCACTCCCTGGAATACAGGTCGATCTCAAAAAGTTACAATAGACGCCAACCCACGAATTATTATAAACCTTCTCTGATTCGAACAAAAATACATGGGGAAACCGGCTTGCTTTGGTTGGGAAGGCGCATCGCTTCATAAGTGCACGTGCTCTGAGCAGCATAGCCTCGAAAACCACAACGTTTCTCAAAACATACGTGACCGACCTAATCGTGACGACGACACGGGGTGATAATCGTCTGCACCAGGCACATGAACTCGATCAAATCGTCAATATCAAGTTGGCAAGCCTATCTTCTATACCACAGTGAAAAGAAGGACCTCTAATTTCCAGAAAGACACAGACTTTGTAACCAACCATTTGGTCTCCATCATCTAGGGTCCCATCCCATGTGACTGCATGTAACCGAACAACGTCCAAGAATTGACTTACTTACTCCAATAGTGCAAGAGCTTGCTTCTCCCGAGGACATGTCCGTGAGGGGCTAAAGTATAAATGAATGTCACATTCATATCTCGATGACGAGAGCAGACGTACGTTCGTCATGAGCACACGATGATAACCGATATGACCGATATGGCGCTTCGACGGCGACCTGCAAATGAAGATTGGGCTCGTGAATCGTCGAATGGCTCAGTTCCGTTTCATTTAGGTTGATTAAATAACGATGGCACGACGTTTACCCATAGTTGAAAACTGCGAACGTATTGGAATCTAGGAATGGTACGATTCGAAGGTTTAAAGACGCAGTGGAACGAACCAGCAGTATCATCGATGTTCTATGATATACATAGGCATGGCAGACGGTCGTAGTCTCATAGAAGTTCGCCTGTGCGCTCCTGTTCGCCTGTGCATGTGAGCTGCGGCTCAGCTGCCCAGTCCGTGCAAGTTCAACAGGCTGTCACCGCCTGTGAGCTGACTAGTAGCGGTCTTCATCCTCGGAACCCCATGGTCCGGCCATGCAGCATACAGCAGATAGATAAACACCACAGCATCCTGCAAATTCGTCGAGATGACAGGAACAATAGAGACTTTGCTCTGCACTCAGCAGACTTGGTTCATTCCCTCGCTCTCTAGTAGTGCTAGCGCATGACTTGTCAGACCTCAATTCGACAGCATTGATTGGCCAGGGGTGGAGGGTAATAAGCAAGAGCTTTCTGTCGTGGGGTACATCACGCTTCCGGCACACTGGCAGCCATCCGCTGCCAGATCATTATCCTCTCTTTATATTTTGTGTGAGCTGAACGACGGTCCGCACATGACTTGGAGAAGGAAATTGCAAAATGCTAGAATTTGGTTCTGCGATGGCACTGAGGAACACACGTGCCGTGCGAGGAAGGGGTGCTTGGGTACCAGCGTCCATGACTTCCTGCTATACGGCTCCCACCGTGACACGGGCCAGCCTGTATGGGGGATATTTTCTCTTGCTACCCTTGTCTCCGATGCTGAGCGCTGAGCCTGCAAATGACTGTGGTTCTGCAATTTGCGAGTCCGATCAACGGCTGGAGTACGATATTGTCTGGATTGTGAGATTGATATAGATGGGACGGAATTGATCTTTCCAAGTGCAGAAATCAAATGCATTACAATGCAGCATACCCGCGTGCGGAAGAAGCGACATGTTACTATGAGAGATCATATGATCGTGAGAGTAAATTCACTGCGGAGCGTGTCTATATATAGACTATGAATCATTTATGGAGCGGGTAAGGTATCTATCGAACGATAAGCTTCACCCCCAAAGTAACCACGTGCACTTGAAGTCATTATGGGTCACATCTGGTCAGCCTACATTCGCGAGACTTATCCTCCGTCAACAAAGTTTCACGCATCTGATGTCCCAGACATGTCCGGAAAGGTTGTTCTCGTCACCGGTGCTAATTCAGGGATAGGCAAAGAGACCGCCAGAGTCTGTCTCCCATCGTCGTATCTGCCTCATGCTGACGCTTTTCGTGGTTAGGTCCTCCTCACAAAAAATGCCAAGGTTTACGTTGCTTGTCGCGACAAGGCCAAGGGTGAAAACGCTATTCGCGACCTAAAAGAGAGCACCGGAAAAGAAGCGTGTTTCTTGCAACTCAACTTGGCAAACTTGAAGTCCATCAAGGCTTCTGGAGAAGAGCTTTTGCAGTACGCTTGCACTGCATTTGTTGAGCAACGAGACGACTGACACTTCACTTCAGGAGAGAACCCGTACTGCACGTCCTATTCAACAACGCGCGAGTGTTGTCTGACTTGTCGTCTCACCGTCCACTCACATGTTGCTCAGTGGGGTAATGGCTCCTCCTATAGAGATGTTGACGGACGACGGTTATGACCTGCAATTTGGCACAAATGTCCTTGGTCACTTCTACTTCACGAACATTGTTATGCCTGCACTTCTGCTGATGGAACTGCACGCATTGTGAACACAGCTTCTAACGCCCACTGGTTCGGTAGTCTAGACTACAACACGTTCAAGGACTCTCCCGCAATGAAACATAAGACCGTCAAGAATCTCTATGGCCAAAGCAAAATGGTAAGTTTTGTCTCCATTGTATCAACTCCTTTGCTAAAATCCTGTGTGCAAAGGGCAACATTTTATTTGCAGCTGAGGTAGCTAAACGATATGGCAACCGAGGTATAGTCTCAACAGCACTCAACCCTGGTGGTATCAAGACAGAGCTTGGCCGTTATGATGACTCCTTTTCCAAAATGATATCCGTGTATTATCACGTATCATTCAACCTTCCAGATGCTAATTGTTCGATATTTGCAGAGCATAATCTTCCATGATGTATCACTTGGCGCGCTCACGCAGTTATATGCTGGAACCACTGCGGAAGGAGCGAATCTTAATGGAAAGGTTAACCTCTTCTCTCATGAATGAACTCGAACTTATATCCTGGACAGTATCTTGTTCCATGGGCGCGTATTGGGAACACACACAGACGCGCAGGACCCACAGCAGGCTTCAGAGCTGTGGAACTGGCTTGAGGACCAAGTCAAGGACCTTTAGGCTCGATCGATTCTCAGGCTGAATATGTCACTACTATACGGTCGTATGATTGCCTTCCACGTTTTAACAAAAAACCTGTGGGTATATTGGTTTATGTCAGTATCATTCATCATTTGGTTGGGGTTGATATTTATGCTGGATGTAGCCGCTCGATCTTGAGTCGAGTGTTCCATTTCATCACGAATGAATTTCTCGCTCTCGAGGAAGAGCTCAATGCCAACTTGTTGGTGAAAAGGAGAAAGCTTTGGCGCACGCCATCATGGCAGTATCTGTCAACGCTGGGCTTGTGGAGGTACTGTTCGTGATGGTGTTCTTGCATGTGTTCCTCTTGTCGTATAATGTCTTATCTTTCTGGACTTCCAAACAAAGACTCGAATTTGATTCGTTTCTATCGTGATTTCCAGTTCGGTCAAGGCCGCGACGATATAATGAACGGAAATAAGTGTTGCAAGCCTCGTGAGAATAAGCGCCAAGTCTGAATGTGCTTTCAATGAACTTGCTTGACCATCTATATTTGTTGTACTTAGTCTACGGTTGTTGATCGGCTTATTCGTAGTATTATGATTGGCTGTGCCATTGACGCTTGACCGACAAGTATAGCCTACATATTCATCTGCATATGCCAGGTGTCGAAGGAGGGCCATGGCTGACGCTCATCGAGACATCCAACCAGTGCATTACACCGCTGAATCGAAACAATGGCTTCCAGGTCCGAGTCAAGATAGAGCCGGAGAACACATGCCCAGCTTCATCCGTGTTGTATCATGGAACGTTGATTGTATGAGGCCAGAACCAGACCTTCGCCTAGACGCTGCTCTCTCCTATATCCAGCACCAGGTCTTCAAGTGCAGGACAAACCGCAGACGTCCTGAACCGTGCTCGATCCTCCTCCAAGGCGTCCTAACCACTGCATTCAATACCATTCTCAATAACAAGTGGGTCCAGAATTTCTTCGTCGTCATTCCTTCAACCACAGACGCCTGGCCTAAGCTCGCAAAGTATGGCACAGTCACCCTCCTCTCTCGTTCCCTCCGCATCACAAAGTCAACTTCCATTCATTTCAGCTGCTCTGAATCGCAGCACCACGCTATTTTCGTAGACGTCAAGCTCAGCGGTCTCCTGGACACAGCCCAAGCTCCCGCATCACCCGAGTCTGTCGTCACCTTGCGAATTGCTAACACCCACCTTGACCCATTACCCGACGGCGCCCCTATCAGGGAGAAACAACTCAAGCTCGTCGCTGATGCTTTGATACATGATGGGCTGTTTGGAGGAGTCGTTGGAGGAGACTTTAACGCTGTTTCGCTCAACGACTCCGAACTGGTTGAATCTGTCGGCTTGTGGGATGCATGGGGCGGCGACGATGAAGGTGGCTTCACTTGGGGGTATCAACCTCGTTCTCCGCTTACACCAGGAAGACTAGACAAGTTGGTCTATACGCCTCGTCCAGGCTTCTTTGTAGATACCCCAAAGAAGATAGCTGTTGGGAAGAAATACGGGCAGCTGACGCGGAGGAGGTGGATCAGCGACCATTATGCTCTGCTGACCAAGGTGCAATGCGTATATTTCGCATCCGACGCTTCAGATGTAAGTCCAGTATTCTCGGCGCTGGCATGTCCTAGTTCTCATGAGACGTTCAGTATGATCCATCGGACCATGGGCACATCCAGCAGGGACTGAGAGAGCAAAGGAATATCGAAACATGCTCGCTTGACGTAAGTTCACACTTCTCTTACCCTAGCTTGCTTCTGACTGTTCCGTAACTAGCACCCACTCGTGTCTCATTCACCACCACGTAGTAAATACATCATTCCACTTCATCCTGGTACCAATTCTCGGTCCAGACGGAAGCCCTGGAGAAGCTTGCTGCGCATGAAGTCATCGAGGTAAGGTATACACTTACTTTGCGGAATTCGCGATCATTGACAGATGTAGTCCGAGTGTAGAACAACATTCTGACGGGACCAGGACCCATTGAAAGGAAGGAGCAGGCACTCACTTTTAAGTACTAGTCCGTGCCCCCTGCCCTCCTGCATTCATGCATACTAAATTGCTCATGAATCTCCAGACCCGCACAGGGTCACTTACTACATCACGCATATGCACTGCTTTCTAGCTGGACCTCACACGACCAACAAATTATCATGATTTACTGTAGAATATGTTGTATGCTAGCACACTGTCTTGGATTTGTCTGTAACATGTTCTTTTGCCTTGAGCCTTATTCAAAGTCCGATGATCATCTCTCACTAGCATAACCGATGCGGGACGGCAAGCTCGAGCGAGCAAGGAGTAAAGTCTCCATTTAATTGAAATACTACTTCCCTACCTCGAGCGGATCTCCATGTCGAGCCTTACCACCTCCCCACGGCCCGCAGAACGGCAAGACATCCACAAATCATGCGGAACGTTGGAGACACTCGTAAACATGCTTACTGACTACTGCGAAGCTGCAGGGGCTATCGTCGCACTACAGAGGAAGCTCTCAAAAACCCTCAAAGAAGCTGCTGCCCTCAAAACCACTAATGAGATCGCAGGTAAGTTTACCTTCCAAAATTCAACCCAAATCCAAGTCTCACGAAACGGCGCGCTGCACAGGCAACGCTTTGAACGTTAGCGCAAGCATATTCGACGTTCTTTCCGATGTCGATGCTAAGTTTGCAAAGATAGCTGATACGGAATGTCGCAGTATCAGTTTAGAGATGAAAAAATGGTTCACGAAGCTCGCGGTACATATTACGTTCCTCACTTCACCCTGCCCTAGCTCACTCACTGACTGAAGAAAGAAGAGAAAACCCATGACGAACGTATGGATGATTCAAACGCTCGTATAAAGCAAGCTGGTACGTCACATCATGTTGTCGTTCGCTCTAGCTTGCGTTGTCTCAACGGTTCCTGTAAGGTCAGGCATACGAGAAGAAGGCTAAGAAGAGCGCACGCGATGTTGGGGAAGAACACGCTCGTTATGTCAATCTGCTCAGTACGCTTGGTCCTGAGATGTCTCAGGAGAAATAGTAAGTTGTACGTATGCCTATTGCAGTACTTTTGTTTTGACTGTGCAATCGACAGTAATCATGCGCTGCTCGTGACGCAACAGCATACATCGACTACGTATAGCATAGCAGCATGCCTCTCGAGAGTTGCAGATGCAGAATGGGCGCGGTCATGTGAAAGTATCCGTCGATTCTCCCCGTCTATTGGTCCACTTGGCGAATGGCGAGCTCTCTGCGAGGGCGCATGGACAGGTCCCTTACCCGATGACCTACCAGACATATTACCTGCGCCTGCTCGAGCTCCACTTCCAACCCGGGGTGTAACGGAATGGGGTCAAAACATCCCGCCTGGAAAACACGAATACCAAACTTCGTTTCCCCTTCCTTCACAAGCCAATCCCGCTAACCTCGAACGTCCCCACCCGCCATTCAGCTCCAACGAGCAGGACCAGAACCAGGGCTCCATCAACTCGATTACGACTCTCAGCGCGTTCCCCTTCCCTCCGACACATTTCCCCATCCCTCTAGCTGCTAACGAAGCAGAGCTGCAGCACCAGAGAACGCAAATGCAGAGTTTACAAGTTCCCCGACCAATTCAACCAGCTCAACAGCGTGTCCTATTATCGGAATCTCCACAGCCGATCGAGAGTACGCTCTCTGATAAACATGTGCTCGTTGATTTCAAGTTGCATTCCGCGTCTCGGGGACAGACTACGCCTTCCTCTTTACAGCATAGATACTCTGATAATCACCTCGAACAGAGAATGGCACAGGGAATAGTTGGACCGGGGATGTTGACTGGTAGCGAGAAGAAGGTCCTGGAACAGACGCAGTCCCAGTCCTGCGAGGAAGTGAAACTTGGTCGACTATCCCTGATTACACGAGCGACTTCAAGCGAGAAAACACTCAACAGCAAGCAACTAGAACATACTCCTCCTTCAGAGCACGAGTTCTGTGCTTCAGTGGAAAGCCGCAGCGCATTCAAAAGCCGGAGTATCGATGCTGCGAAGAAGACGCCTGAGCGCACCAATAGTTCTACGAGCAATGGGAGTATTGTTGCTGCTTTGCTCAATCGTTACAGTCGTACGGTGAGTAGATGTGTATTTAATTCTTTGATGTGCCGGGCTGATTTTTGTTTGCATTGAGATCGAGCCTTTGTCTCTGGCGCCGAAAGATGTACCGCGCTTGCCGATGAGCGTTTCAGATCTCGCTTCTAGATATGAGCCTATAGATGAACCCACGACTCCTCGACGTTCGCCGACCGATAGACAAGTGGTCGATCAGAACCCTCCTGCTTTCCAAACCACCCGTGACATCCCTCAAGGCGAAGAAGATATTCGAAAGCGGAGACAACGTATCGATCAGCTCGTAGAACTAGAGCTCAAGGAGAAAGAATGCGAGCTTCGACAGCGCGAACGAGAACTCAACCAGAAAACGCGCGATTTCGAACGCGATCGAATGCATTTTCTTGATGCACGAGGCGACCTTATCAATGCTAGTGACACGCCCAGAGTGCCTCATGCGACACCATTCCAGTACAAACGCGGCTCACAGAGCGCTTCACACCTCGTCATTCCACCGAACTCGACTTCACCACAACGGAAATCTCAATCTCCGTCACGCTCACAGCCGTCTTCTCCTCTACCTGCGAAAGACCACGCGCCATTTTGCGGTTGTGATACGTGTTCCGTCATTAGATACAAAACACCAGATGTTTCACCCTCTCCTCGCGACCTACGTCCTCCGGAGCCTCCTATTATCTTATGCCCTGAGAAGCCCAGGGGCTGGATACGGAGACTGAGCATGCCTGCTGTCGGCGCAGCATTCTCGTTGGATGCGAAGAACGCAAGTGTTACGAGTCTGAAGTCTGGTTTGTCGTCTGCGGTTGATAATGGGAGACGGAGGAAGCGTAGTTTTGATCAGGGGATCAGTAATCGGAGTGTTGGGATGGTGCGGAGGTAGTGTGATGTGTGCTTCTTTTTTTTGCTTCTGGATACATGTTTTGTCTTTCTCTGATGTTGATGGATCCGCTGTCGCAGCACTATAAATCTTATTACATAATACTGTGAACGTCGCTGAACCCCATTATTAAATAAGCTATAGGGCCAGCTAAAGTGGCAACACCCGCTACCTGTTCCGGCATTCGGTTTTTTCAGCCAATTTCATACAAACTACATGTGCAATATTACATCCTGTTATCCCATTATCTACTCCTCTTTGTCTTCCTCCCTTGCTCTTTTGCCTAGTTGCACTCCTGCCATCACATCTGACGCACGCGACTTTGACTGCGAAACTCCAAAGTCAACTCCGCTAGGCTGGGTGCTCAACGGTTCGATTTCAAGCTTTGATTCATCCAAAATGTGGATAGTGTGTGCGTTGAGCTGATAGACCTTCGGAATCATTGTAAGTCATTGTTTTTTTGAGTGATTTGGACTCACTCGTCACTCTTTCCAATTGAACGTCAACAGTGGTCCACGATTTAAATAGGATGAGCATCACTCGACAATATCGCTCTCTAACTTCAGCTCGATCTCATCTAGGCAACGAAGGACCTATCGGAATGGGGACACGACGTCTGTCTGGGTGACGCACGACGAGGCGATGGGTTAAACTCTCAATATGACTATCACGCAGTTCAAATGAGGGACGTGAGTATGACTTTACATTCATAATCTCCTCCATCGAATTGAATTGTCGATCATATATAGGCTTATTATCTTTACTCTCGACAGGACTCACACCGCAAACATTGTCCACATCCGAAGAATCAACATCTAAATCATCGACAAGCTCTCTCCAACAGTGTCATCATGATCATGTGAATTTGTGTTGTCATCATCTCGCGATCGTTTCACTTTCTGTTTTCTTACTTGCGCGATAAAATCCCATACACACATCTCCTGAAGCCCAAAAGATCGTAACCGATAGTCTTGCACCTGATTTGCCTTTGGAATCCATTGTCGTCTACTGACAAAGCAGCTTCGTCATCAGCAACACCGCCATCAGCAATATCTTGCAGAACATCCTCGTCTACTGGTCAACACGCGACGCGTAAGATCGCTTACCCTTAACAAGGACATCTACACTTGGACATATAGACAACAATGACTGAAATGATTTAGACACTCTCTCATATGCACCTCGGCTACGAAATATATTCAGAATACTGATAGCTTTTTGCCTGGGATGTGCACGAGTGCACTCTAAATCGCTACAAATACTCTGTGCAATAAACCAAAGTTCACTGCCTGATATAGCAGAAACGTCCGCTCGTCCAATATGAACTCGGCTGAATTCGAAGGCATGCCAGACCCTGCAGCGACCTCACGACATGCAGTGTAATCATGATGCTTGGAGCGCATGTCCGAAACGGCAGATTCACCGTGGAGTAGATGTTGCAACAACGATATTTGCAACTCGAGCAAGGGATAAGACCCCCTAAGGTCTAAACCATGCAGAGCACATGCCCGCTCGAGCAACGCAACTTCGGACGACAAAGGACCCAAACGGACCCCCGAACGACACGATGCAAAAAATATATCATGCACAATAGACTTTGAACGTCTGCAAGACGATAAACCTGCCCCTGCAAGGGACGAAGACTGGGATAAATCCACAGGGCCACTGACAGCAGATTCTGGCAAATGGCTTGCATTGCCACCATGTATACACGAAGTTGCTAGGAACACAAAACAACATCAGAAAGATACCAAAATATTCAACCATGAAGTAC